GAGCTTCCCCCGGCGCGCAGCGGCCCCGGGAGGAGCGGGGCCCCCGGGCCACCCTGCTCCTCGCCAGGCGCCGTCGCCGCCAACTCCCGGGACTCCGTGTTTGGGGGAGGTAATAAACCCCACCCCACCCACAGCCCCGACTGTAATGTTTGTCACTGCTTGCCCATCACTAGGGGTTGAGAAGAGTATGACAGGTCTTTGTTGTCTGAATAAAAATCAGTGGCAGCTCAAGGGAGAGAACTCCTCCTACTAAATTATCAAAAATGGGCTGGCTTTAGTCTCTTAACAAATTGGACAGAGCTCCGGAAAGCAGCAGTCCCAAATCCAACCTACAGGCACTGGGAACTTTAAAGCAACCAGGGACTGCTGAAAATAGCACTTCTTTTTGCTTTCTTTGTATTCAAAACTATACCCTTTCCCGACCGACTCTACTGCCCCACGTTCAAGTCTCTCCAGTCAGGAGCCCCAGCTCTCCAGAACAGTAACAGATCCTTTAGCTCGCTTTTATTATTTTATTTTTAAAATTAATTATTATTGCATTTTCTCCCCCTTGTTTGTTTTCTGCACATCTTCAGGAAGCCCTCGGTGCTTGTGCAAAGAGAAGCTCGTATTGCAACCTCCCTCCCTGCGCTGTTGCGCCTCGGTGTAAACACTTCGGATGATCTAAAGACTCTGGGGTCTGTATATGGAAATAGTGGGGTGCAGAGCAGAAGAAAATACTTGTCCTTTCCGTCCCCCAGCCATGCTTTTCCACGGGATCTCCGGAGGCCATATCCAAGGAATCATGGAGGAGATGGAGAGGCGATCCAAGACTGAGTCCCGCCTGGCCAAGGGGGGACAGATGAACGGCCGAGAAACGGTAAGAAAGAAGCTGGCACTCTTTGAAAGGGAGTCCCTGCAAGCATGGACCTGCAGCGGGACAGACCCTGGCTTTGGGGAAGAGAAAGACGCTGCTTCCCCCTGCCCCTTCCCTGCCACCCCTTGCTCGTAGGAACCCTTCCCAGGCTCCCTGTAAACCTATCCGTAAGGCTGGGTGCTGTGCTGGCCAGGCTCATTTGTTCATTTGTCTAATGAATGTTGTTGCGTGTGGCCTCTGAAATAACGGGGAAAAAATATTTTAAATCGTAGCAGGGACGGGTTTACAGTCCTTAGAGCGAAGCAGCCTTTTGCCCCCTGCTCCGCCGACTGCGGCTGCTCTGCCCCTTCCCAGCCGGGCTGCAGCTGGAGTTCCTGAGGTGTACTTTACTTTTTTTTTTTTTTTTGCACTCCTGGCACCTCTTAAATTAAACCGCAAACCGCGACCGCTTACTTTTCATAACCATTTTTGGTCTGAAGTGTGGGATTGATACAAAGAGGCACTGCTCTCTCTGCATCTTAAGCCCGCCGACTACTTTGCGAGGAGCAACATCTCCTTTCTTTGCCAAAGCACCAAAGTCTTCATAAATGTATTAAGGGATGGCGGAGAAACCGAGTGTCACGCTGTGTTTTGTGCAAAGCGAGATCTCCCTTTCTCCAACTTGTAGGGCTTCCGCCGATCGCGCACAAGGCTCTGCACACAAAGTAACGGCCTGGAAAACTGCTTTAAGGCTTTCAGCTATAGGGTCCTTCCCCCCTTCTCTTAAATAAACTCCTGCTTTGTTATATGAGGATTTGCAATGTAAATTCAACTCGCCTTTTCAATTGCTGGGAAAAAAAAAAAAAAAAAAAAAAAGAGGGCGAGGAATACAACTTCAGATTGGAGAGCGAATGCAGGGTTGCCACTTTAAAACAGTTGCGACTTTAGAACAAGATGTTCGGGATTTTTTTTTTTTCCGCTTTTGCTTTATCAGCAAAAGCTGCCCCAAGTTTCACGGCAGAGCTTTTGTCTCCGCCGTCCCTCCGACTCCCTTTGTCCCGAGCGACACTCCTCGTGGGGAGCAGATTAATGGGAACTTGCAGAAGTTTGCTCCTGAAAAGATGCTAGTTTTAGCTGAAACCAGTCTGTGCCACCTTTCTGTCCATGTCCCTGGCCGGGGTGGTGAGCATTCGTGCTCACTGCTCTTTACACCGTCCACCTGTCTCCTTTTTCTCACTTCTGTTTTAAATGGTACGGCTTTCTTTAGAGACGGGGTTTTGGTTGGTGAAAATGTATCAGAAAATCAGGGGAAGCCTGCACCCTCTGCCTTAAACTTTCGGTGCAGCAAAACGGGATTTTCCTACTTTAAAATGCTGTTCTTGTGGAGCGCTCTAAGATTAAAACACCAAAGTAACGGGGAAGCTAGAGACTCTAACTTCGGGACCTCAGGAAAGAACGGGCTCTACTTTTCTTACTGAGGCCTAATCAGTTGCCTTCACATATTGAAATTACATTAGATAGTTAGGAAAGGTTTAATGGGATAAACACGAAAGCTGAATCGCGGTAAATACTTTCCTAGCCGACATGGTCTCGGTTCCCCCTCAAACTTCCCGCCGGGATCAGATGGTTTGGTCCCAGAGAGCAGTCTCTTTGTACGAGCCCCGCGTCCTGCGCAGGACCTCGTCCCCAGCCCGGAGTGCCCGCCTGTCTTTCTCTCCCTGTCTCATCCCCTTGTGGTATGGTTGTTTTGCAGAATATGCCCCCAATGAGCCCCGAGAAGCCTGCTTTGTGTGCTGGTTGTGGAGGGAAGATCTCAGACAGATATTACCTGCTGGCTGTTGACAAACAATGGCACCTCAGGTGTCTTAAATGCTGTGAATGTAAACTGGCTTTGGAGTCAGAACTCACCTGCTTTGCCAAGGACGGCAGCATTTACTGCAAGGAGGATTACTACAGGTACAGCTATCAGTCCCCATGGGTTCAAAAGCACATCCCCTCACAAAGCATTATGAACCGAAACGCTCTTTTCTCCACACGGGCTTTCAAAGGTAGCTTTTCGCGGTCAGCGGTTCCTTAATCCTGTAAACGTGTCCCCTCCGAAAAGTCTCGCACGTTTAAAAGCTGAACGGACCGACCCGGGGACACGCCGACTGAGCATATGTGGCCGTACACAAACAGGCGAAGGAGAAGACCTCGGGTCTCCCGCTGCTCTGCGGTTTCCTTCCGTAAAGACCAGCGTTAAGACCCAACAAAAGTTTGCCTCTGCCCATAGCTTGCCGGTTTTTCCGCGGGCCGGGGAGCGGGCCCCGGGGCCGGAGCGGCGAGAGGGGCGGCGAGCGGCGGCGGAGCCCGCTGCCCCC